GATCTTGCCCGTAGCAAGCACAAGTACGGAAATGGCTGCAAGGTTCTCAAGGATGGTGAGGACTACTGGATAAATCCAGACTTATCCCAGGCTGAAAGAAGGGCGAACTACGAGGCGCGGCAAAAAAGACGGGAGCGGACGAAGGACAGTGGTTCCAAGGGACTATTGACAGGTGGTACGGAATCGGAAAACTCCGGCAACGTTGCGACCTATTAGCTATCTCTAGTTATAACTCTAAACTAAGAAACAATGCTAGTCATTTTCTGAAAGTTTTTTATTCAAATGCAAATGACTTGAAGAATAAAATCAGTGAACTGCAAATTGTAGCCGAATCCAGCGACTGCAAGGTTTTGGGAATTACAGAAACAATGTTCAGTGCAGATGTGTATGATGCAGAGGTAGCATTAGCGAACTTTAGGCTGTATAGAGTAGATCGATTAACGGGGAAAGGTGGTGGTTCTTGTATATATGTGCATGATTCTATCCAATCTCACAATGTAACAATAAATGTACCTGATTGCATATGTGTCATGCTAAATTCTGATTGTATTGATATTGCATTATTTGTTATATACCGATCCCCTTCATTAACAATCGATAAGTGTCAATCAATGTTATCTAATCTGTCCGTAGCGATTGAAAATCTAGCCCCTAATACCGAACTAATCATGATGGGAGATTTCAATCTTCCTGATGTTGTGTGGGATTTAGGTGTAGTTAAATGTCCGAATAATTCAATTAATCAAAAATTCCTGATTCAACAGTGCTATCTTGATTTTTTCGCAAAACATGATCTCAGTTGGGTTATCGGAGACGATGTTAAAACTCGCAGAAGGAAGGTTTTAACAACAGTGCAATCGTCAACTCTTGACAATGTTATGACTTCAGACCCCGCCATATTTCAGGAAGTTCAAATAACCGCACCGCTGGGAAAATCAGACCATGTGGGAATTATCAGTAAGTGGTCAATTGCTAACCATGATGAGTATGTGACTCAACAGAAGAAAAATTGGTCAAAAGCAAACAAAGATCTAATCATTGATACAGCAGGGCCGCTGCAATGGAGTGCCAATCATGACTTGACTATCGAAGAGCACTGGAATCTGATTCAGGCCAATGCCAACACCATTGCTGAAGCTGTTCCAGTCGTCAAATTGAGGATAAATCGTGCAGGTGCAATAAAATCACGATCGGTCTGGGACAAACCATGTCTAATCAAGGCACGGAAGCTAAAAGAAAAACTGTGGTCTATTTTTGAAAACGACCCGACATCAAAAAACCTGAATCATGCACTACATCAGCAGAGTGCTTACGAGAAGAAGCAACAGCAGCTCATGATATGCTATGAGAATAAAGCAGCAGCCCAGCTAAAAATAAATCCAAAAGCTTTCTACAGCTATATGAACTCCAAGCGCAAGATTAGGGCTGCAATATCTGGAATCAGAGATGCTAGTGGGGATGAACTCCACTCAGCACATGATATGGCTAACCAACTTGGGATTTTCTTTGAGAGCACGTTTGTAAAGGAGGATCAGGCCTCAATACCTGACCCACTACCCGGAGACAGCGCAAAGGAGACGATTCCTGACCTGAAATTCAATACAAGTGAAGTTCAAGATCAACTTCGTAAAGTTAACATCTGGAAGTCCGTTGGACCTGATGATATACACCCCAAGCTTTTGAAAACACTAGCCGAAAACAAACAGTTTGCTGATTCAGTCACAGCACTGTTCCAAAAATGCTACAACGAGGGAAAGATTCCCGAAATCTGGAAGCAGGCAAATGTCACTGCATTGCATAAAAAGGGGGATAAATCCCAAGCCAGCAATTATCGCCCTATTAGCCTAACGTGCGTTCTTTCCAAGATCTTTGAGAGGTTTTTAAGGAACCATATTCTAGCTCACGTATCCCTCATGATTGTGAATGAACAACACGGTTTCCTACCAAAAAGATCCTGCGTCTCGAACCTACTGGAATGTATGGACATTGTCAGTGAGATACTAGAGAAGGACGGGTCAGCTGATATACTGTATCTCGATTTTCAGAAGGCTTTCGATTCTGTACCACACAAACGATTGCTGAGAAAATTGCAATCCTTTGGAATATCTGGCAACACCCTTGCAGTCGTGGAAGACTTTCTAACAGGAAGAACATTTCGCGTCAGGGTTGGATCATCATTTTCTAGAGTGTTTGCTGTAACATCTGGGGTCCCTCAAGGAACCGTGCTGGGCCCCCTGCTCTTCCTGCTCTTCATAAATGATCTCCCTGATGGAATTGAGAGCTTCGTATCACTCTTTGCGGACGATCTTAAGCTAGTAACGAGCACAGCTAAGCACAGTGTTGCACAAGATGATATACTGAAACTCAATGCGTGGGAGAAGGAATGGCTCCTAAGATTCAATGTGAAGGATGGCAAGTGTAAGGTACTACATATTGGGCGTAACAATCCAATGCACGAGTACTTCATGAATGGGGAACGCCTCCCCCAAGTGAAGGCAGAAAAGGATCTTGGAGTTCTAACTACCAGAAACCTGGACTGGAGTGATCATATAGATAAGTCCGTGAAAAAAGCAAAGTCTGTTATAGGCTGGATCAAACGAAGTTTGATCTGCCGTAACAAATTTGTTATGCTAAATGTCTACAGAACTCTAGTTCGACCACACATCGAATACGCTGTGCAAGTGTGGAATCTACCAGCAGAGCACGGAAACTGGAGGACTATTAAGAAGATAGAAGACGTTCAGAGAGAATTTACACGAATAATCGACGGGATTGGTATCCTACCATACGATGAGAGACTGAGAATCCTCCAGTTAACAACACTACTGGAGCGCCGTATGAGGGGTGATCTTATTGAAACCTTTAAAATAACGACGGGTAAAGTGGACTATGGACAAGATCTTTTCAGGATATCACGTAGCGGTACCAAGATCCTAAAAGATAAAAGAGGAAATCAGGTCCTCAGTAACCGTGTTGCCAATTACTGGAACAAAGTACCAAGTTCGGTTAAAGAAGCCAGTTCAGTAGACGCATTCAAAGCTCGACTTCAATGTTATAAAAATGAACTGATAGCGAGTGGAGCATCGTCAAAGGGTCACTTCTGGGAACTCAGCGAAACCTTGATGTCAAAAATAAATACATGTGAGCATGATTCATATGCACATTTCATGTCTAATAACCCATTGATTGCTAAATACCGAGGAATCAATGTTTCTTGATTGTTAAATTCAGAACTACATGTTAACGTCCTAAAAATAATTAATCATTAAATGTTCCGGATAGGAACATTTTTCTTTTTGATTATAATATTGTGCGAACTGCAATAGCGTAGAGTGCAGTTGGGTTTCAAGTTTTGTCGAGATGGCCATGTGGCCATAATCCTATTATTATTATTATTATTATGCTTGGATTGACAATATGATTATGACGTTGTGTTGGTTAGTTAACGTACACCTGTACACTATAATTTGATGATGCCTATAACTCTATTAGAGTATTAACTGTATTGTAACCTAGTGGCTCTGCATGGCAGATAGTTGGTGGCTATGTGGCTGAAAGTGGGCGAGGGAACCTAGTGGTTTTGTGGCAGATAGTTGGTGGCTATGTGGCTGAAAGTTGGCGAGGGAACCTAGTGGCTCTGTGGCTGATAGTTGGTGGCTATGTGGCTGAAAGTTGGCGAGGGAACCTAGTGGCTCTGTGGCTGATAGTTGGTGGCTATGTGGCTGAAAGTTGGCGAGGGAACCTAGTGGCTCTGTGGCTGATAGTTGGTGGCTATGTGGCTGCTAGTTGGAGAGGGATTCTTGTGGCTAGCTGTGGCGGATCATAGTTGGCAAGGGAACCTAGTGGTTTTGTGGCAGATAGTTAGTGAGGTTAAGGGAGTGCCCTAATGGCTTTGTTGCTGATAGTTAGTGAGGTTAAGGGAGTGCCCTAATGGCTTTGTTGCTGATAGTTAGTGAGGTTAAGGGAGTGCCCTAATGGCTTTGTTGCTGATAGTTAGTGGGTCAAGGGAGTGTCCAAATGGCTCTGTTGCTGATAGTTAGTGAGGCCCTAATGGATATGTTGCAGATAGTTAGTGAGGTTCAGGGAGTGTCCAAATGGCTCTGTTGCTGATAGTTAGTGAGGCCCTAATGGATATGTTGCTGATAGTTATTGAGGTTAAGGGAATGCCCTAGTGGCTATGTGGCGGATAGTTGGAGAGGGGAGTGCCCCAGTGGCTATGTTGCTATAATAGTTAGTGAGGTTAAGGGAGTGCCCTAGTGGCTATGTGGCGGATAGTTGGAGAGGGGAGTGCCCCAGTGGCTATGTTGCTATAATAGTAAGTGAGGTTAAGGGAATGCCCTAGTGGCTATGTGGCGGATAATTGGAGAGGGGAGTGCCCTAGTGGCTATGTGGCTGATAGTTAGTGAGATTAAGGAAGTGCCCTAGTGGCTATGTGGCGGATAGTTGGAGAGGGGAGTGCCGCGGGGCTTGGTCCTGTACTACTAGCGGAGAGTGGGGCAGGGTATATCGACTAATGCCACTGATCTGCGCTGTATCGTGTTCCGGCACGTGCCAGTACAGGCACTCCACAGCGACTGTGTCTGGCTAGCGAGACAGCGCAAAGGGGACCGCCGTTATACCCTGTCTCACCTGTAATGACCCGCCTAGACCCTCTGTAAAATATATAACATATACCTTGTTAACCAACCCCATGACGCCATCATTTCTGTCAATTCATTTTTTTTTTGTTCATGATGACGTCGATGCTTACTACCGCCCCCTTCCCCGTAAGAGATACTACCGGATCTGACTTTTTTGCGATCCAAACTCCGTCACCAAGAGACGGTCCCATATTAATTAAAGCATACGTAATGTCAGCTCAAGAGGAAGCGAGGGCGAGTAACGTGACCAGCTAGAGCTGCCCACGTGCACTGTTGATCTGGTCACGTGATTTGTCACGTGACGAGCTGCCTCACGTTGAGGCCGGCCCAGCTCTCTCCCGCCACCTCCCCAGTACACCTACCGCATCGGTATTGCTTTCTTCATCGTACTTCGTGCCAAATAGAATTCCTGTTTGTGTTTATATATAAGCGTGCTTATAAGACAAGTTGATCTCATTTTTTGCATCTCGTCACAGATCTGTTTTCTTCTTTCACACCATCGGTGATATCCAACCAAGGAAGTAATCTTATTGAACATGAGGGTAAGTCTTTCTGCAGAAGAGAATTTAAGGCTGTTAATTTTATCATTTATATAGTACAGTAATTGGATGACGGTATTATCGAGTTTAAGGTTACTTCTGGTCCACGTTTTTTTTTCCAGTATGATGGAACCGCAATTTTGTAAGGGATTAAACTGTTTTCAGTGTTAAAAACTTCTCTTTCTGTTGAAATTTAACCCTCATTTAATTTGATATTCAGCACTGTCCTCGTTTTTTAGTGTGGTAGCTTCTCAGGTAAACATTTCTTCGGTGCCTGCTTTCAGCCGGTTCGGAGATTGCCAGTTTAGCAGGTAGTCCAGTTTAGCCGGTAACCCAGTTTAGCAGGTATTACGGGATCCTATGTTCTCGGCATGCTAACTGGGGCGTGAAGAGTGTTACCTCCTTAGTGCTCAAGTTCTCAAATACTAATTTATGAATTCAAACCGAATTGTATAAATTTAAACAATCCAAGAACCATTCGAGGAGCATGCCTAGTTTTTCACGGTGTTTTGCAGGAGATATCTGCCAATCGAAGTATTCGTCGTCCCTGCTATTTTAAAGATCGTTTACTTCGTTGCAAAACGGTTTTCTAAGTAACTGAAGTTTGCTGCAAACAATCAAATCCCATCCTAACCGACCTTATGCGGGTAGCGGTAGTTTCATTGTATTTAATGAAATTCAATCAGATCAAATCACATTTCCAGCCGATCATTATTGCTGATTGTGATAATCATACAACATGACCTCTCCAACATTGTTTACAGACGGTACGATCTTTACCCAGGCATACCTGGTCTTTACCCAGCTTCTCGAAATTTCTTTGAGGCAAACAGACACTCTTACTCGAGATCATGCCAACATGCCCCTCCCTCAAATAGACAGTTTCCAGGAGAGTTCCAGCTAGAAAGGCTAGATCATGGCGTGACTCGCGGGAAACACTGACGCTTGGCGTGATAGGTACCACCCCTCTCTCCAAGAATTGACAAAGTCTCTCTCCAAGGGTAGACCAGCAAGTTGTTGGTAAAGTCGCGCCATATCCTTTGGTCTTGGATTTAAGATAGACCCTCTCGTGTCGTGGCTTGTTGGGGTGCAGTACACGGACATGGAATGACTGATTTAATTGGGGTTTCCTCCTTATTTGGCTAATTGAATGGTATTCAAGCTATTTTGTAAATCGCTAAGATGTGAAGTCAGCGATGAAAACTGATCCTAATAGTAATCAATCTTGGCCATTATGGGAATGAGGAATCTTGAGTCATTATATTGATCGGCTTAGGAACAACAAAGGTCATCTCAATCCGGGTTGGGTCGAATGGTAAAGAGCAGAGTCATTACTCCTCTGAGGAGGAGTCTGTAAAAGCTGTCTGCTTTGCTACATTGTTCGAAATGCATCGGTAACAAGTTTCAGCGGGTAATGACTAAATATTTCAGGTACAAATATTGATCCTACAACTGCTCGCGGTGCTTGCTCCTGCTGTCTACTCGAGGAGACCCAGGTCATCCACTATAACTGGTTAGTAGTTCTATTTATAACGTGAGGTGTAGTGGTGTGGGGAATATGGTGGGAAATGTTTTATAATCACGTACATATTGTAAAACTTTTTCCCCGTAGTTTTGAAGTAAAGTCTAATAAAATCAGGCCACAATTTTAGGTTTGATGTTTTTGGTTCAATTAAAATATCAGTCCCAAGAAAACTCGAAACATTCGACCTAAAACACATTATAGTGTGGATAAAGTTTCACTCATGTACAGCATTGACATCATCATTGACTAAGGATTTGCACCCTGCAAAGTTAATTTGATCATTGTATTTGTAATAATTGTTATAGGTGTATGGTAATTTTCTTGTTTAGATTAGGAGGAGATACTTATGGCTTACCAAATTCGTAAGATTGGTAATCTTGGTAAATAAACTTGGTCGACAAAGGGAATATTTTCCATTACCAATTGTTTCTAAGGCCGAGTTCTGTCTCCACTCAGGTCCCCAATCAATCAGGCCCTATTCAGCCAGGACCCCAAATCAGCCAGGCTTTTTGGAAATTCCAAACCGGCTTAGGTTGGCACGCTAGCTCCACCTCTTATGACCAGGAAATGTCCCGTACGTTCAATCCTAATTTGAATTACAGACCACGTCCTCTACAAAATTTGGAGCCTAATTGGACGGGAAATTCAATTACCAAGATAACTGAGAAGTGACTCTAGAAACACGTGTTATTGGAAGGGTGGAGTCCCTGAATCCCGATTAAGGTATTTTTCCCGGGGGAAACCGTTCAGATTTAAGATATGGGCACCGTGCCAGACCGGGACCATATTTACAAATATCGAGCTTAAAAATTTTATTTCTCAAGATTCAATTTCAAAGGACTTTCGGAAACACCTATAAGTGAATAAATTACAATCTCTCAGTTTTACGATAAGATTACGTGATTAAATAGTAGTATCATCGCTCTTAAGCCACTATCGACACTTCCTTCCACGTTAGTTGGTTTAAGCGCTATTACTGTGATAACGAAAGTATCCTCTACGCCGCCTCTATCAAAGACAACTGATTCCTGGTTTATAATTGAAATCTCGTGTCGTTGTGCGTGTGTCGACACCTAAATGACATCATTTTGCTTTTCAGATTAATTCTAAAGTTAAGAAATCTGGTGCTGTAAAAAGTGTGATTTTTACATAATTGCGATTGCGTGAGGAAATTTTTTAAATTTTCGATGGTCTCATCGTCCCACCTTGACCAGCCTTATAAATTACAACTAACTTACCATTACTGACTTACTATTACTAACCTAGGCTTTCACAGAAACACATTTCTGAGAGACAAAAGAAGTCTGTGTTTGTGCACCTAATTTTTAAAAGATGCTTGGAAATTACTGTATTTATTTTCACTCATAAAGTTATAATGAGCTTGAAAAAGTTTTAACTGCACCTCACGGTGCACAATGTATCTAATTCTATAAGATATCGTAATGTAACAGCCTCAGTTACAGCTGTGACTAATTAAAAGTCACGTCAACCTATAAATTTCCATCCGCAAATTGTTACTTTTGGCATTGGCAAAGCGGTCAAGTTTTATATTTTCTCAATTATAGATGACATTTTTGACACTTGCATCATAGCGGAAAGTTGTTCGTAAAAATACATTTTTTTTATTAAATACTTTTCAAATTTTACAGAGTACAGCAATAGATGAATATAAAATAGAATCGTTCAAAATATCGCCCCCATCTGTAGAATATGATGGGCACCCAAACACGGTAAACACATAGTGAACTATGTCCGCAGTAACTTGGACCCATTACATCGAATTAATCTAAATCCAAAAATTTATGAAAAACTATTTAATAACAAACAAACCCATGGTGAATAAATGTGGATATAGAGTCAAAATTGGTATTTCAATACGTCAAATTCCAGACACATAAACTTGGAGTTGGTGAAACACTTTTGACACCGTAAAAAGTCAAAGCAGCCAATTTAATCACCAGAAATTCATTTTCTAGTCTGAATTATGAATAATAATATAATAAATCTTAATCTGAAATCAAATATTTCAAGCGCCATGCGGTTTCTAATCCATTTCTGCGGAGAAATAATCTACGGCACAAAAAGGCGGGGTCTTTAACTCTTTTTTTAAACCATGGATCTGAAAAACGATCAAAGCATCCTGGGTGGATCCCGATAGTCCAGATTGAGGTTTTGAAATACCAATGCGTGCCAACCTGAGCCAGTAAATCTAAAAATTTCTTTGTGTAAATCCATCGCATTCTTTATTTTACTTTATTGTGGTTTTAAAACTCACCGCCCTCAAGCGTGATTGTTACGACGTTAAATATTTTAAATACTTAGAATAATCTTCGTTACGAAATGTCACTGAAATCAGGTATCTGTACTGCGCACTTTTACGAATGAGCTCGTGTGCTCATTCATAACTTCAACTTAGACCCAGGGTCAACGTTTTAAAATTAAAAATATTATTCCTCGTATCTTCTGGCGGCATAAAGCTCATTATAGTTGGGCCTCGCGCTAGACAGCTCGGAATTACCTCAAGGTAGACGTAGTACTGGGTAATAATCGTTTATTAACTGCGGTCTTCAGCCCTCATTTCGCGCTATTGGTAGCATATTTTCGATGCAGGGGGTGGTAAACCGAGTTTGTAATATTGCTACAGAAGATTTGTAATTCTGTAACTACTACATAATATATACCCTTGCCAAGTCATCGTCCTATCCCTGCCTGTAATTTAATAACAGAAGAAATGAAGAGTATGATTTTATGGAGCTAAATTTTGGTGGTCATGGATAGCAACTTAAAATAGCATTTATGTCTAATGATAAAATCATAACTTTGTGTCCTTTGGCATTCACCACGAAACATTATCAGTTTATTTGTCGTTTTCAGAACTATAGTACTCCCAGTAACTCATTTTCAAAATTTTTTAAATTCATGAAAGTTTATTCATATCCTAACCCAGTAACTTATTCTCAGCTAACGACCTAGTCCAAGAAAATTGTGTAGAAGAATACAACAAGCTCGGGAGACAGACCGAGCCCGTTAGAGTGCAGAAAACTCTCCGAGTGCTAGAGGCGAACAGAACTTTCACCGCTGAGGCGACTCATCTACAAGTAAGATATTACCTAAAACTGCGTTCTATATTCTAGATTATACAAATAATTTTTAAGTAATAGCTGTTTACGAACCTTTGCTATACAATATAATTATAATTATATGTACTTGTAAGTCAACGAGCCGTGAATTCAATTTAAACATCTATGGATATGTGAATATGTAACACTTTTAATAGAATCTGCGCAATTTTTAGACTGAATTGATCTTGTTTGGGCAATTCTACTGGAAATGACGTTGTTGAACGATTATAGAGCTTTATTCAGAATTCATTAAGGGGTCATCTACTTAGGACGTCCGGCAACTAGGGAGGGGGTGATTTTGGAATTTCGGACAATCCGGACAGGGGGAGGGGGGTGGTTTTTGAAAATTCGGACGTCCGGAAATTTGGGCAGAATTAACGAAAAAGTCCCATTTATTTCAACTCCTTGAATTTTATGTCAACTCTTTGAATTTTATTAACAATGAATTTGAGTTGGTTTTATTTTTACTCTTAAAAGCAGCTGGAAATCCGGACGTCCGGGGGAGGAGGGGGGGGGGGGGGGGGGGGGGTGGCTTTGAAAATTCGGACAAACCCGGACATGGGGATGATCTGAAAATCTGCGATTTTGGCGGACGTCCTAAGTATAGATGGCCCCTAAGTCAGTTCAGAGTACGTAAATTTGATAACGCGTGGTCATGGTACTCTACTAACATAAGAAAGTGATGAGTAGCACAATAACACTAACAGACCAATAGGGTTGAATAGGTACTGTAAACTTCAATTTTGGGAGTTTAAAATTATTTCGAATTAAAGGAGGCGACTTTAGTCTCGTTCTACTCCCGCTTCTTCGTATAGGTATTAGGTGCGTGAGTCATGGGTAGGTAATGCTACTTTAACTTATTTTGGTGAACCAGCGGTTAAGTTGGCAGCTAGTTGCGGTTTAAATTCTATCGAGAATTGTTCTCTAGAACTGATGGATTGTTCCCCAGAACTGATGGAAACCTCCAATTATTGAAAACCATGCACTATGGTGTGGATTATTAACATGGATTAAGAGCCAGGTTCAAGAATTTTAGGGAATGGGAGTAATTCCCTGGGGGACGAGAAGTCAAGACCTACCCAAATAGAATATTTGATATACTGTAGTGGCCTATATTCCAGCCTATCATTAAACCGCGATTTTGAATATTATTCAGAATGAAAAACAGGGTCCCAGTCCTTGCAAGGATGAATTCCATAGAATTCTGTGGAGATTCGGGCATTCGTCCGAATTATTTGAACCACGCGAGCAATCACATATTGCATGTAACTTATTGGGCGGCGTTCAGCCTGTCATTCCGCCGAATCTCAGGTAATATAGTAATATATAACTGGCATTCCTACAGTCCAAGAGTGAAACAGAATTTACTCGTAGCATGAGCAATCATTCATTTTCTTCTTCATAAACGTGGGAGAATTTCTTTTGTCTGGATATCGAACATGAGTGATAAGCCGACCACGACAAAGATTCAACTTTTGATAGTTTTACCAAAATTAAATCAAACACTAAAATTTGTCAAATTCCTCCATTTCTCTTTAAGCATTGTTAAACTTTCAGTTATTTCTCCTGAAGTTCATTTAATCAGGTGGCAAATTCACACCACGCACAAACCAACATCAAGTACAAGTCAGAAATGGGATCCTTCAACAAATGTCTTCAAAGTTTGATTAACTATGATATCTTTGTCATCTCTAATACTAAAATAATAGACCCAATAGAAAAAGAAGAGCGTAGTTTCAAATGCACTATTGTAAAGGAATTTATTTGATGGAAGTTCGAATGAATTAATTGTCAAATATTTCAATTGTGATCGATAACATTTCTCCATTCAAGAATTTTTGCTCTATCGCTCAAAATTATTTGAAACATAATCATTCATAAGCCTCAAGGTATGCTTTAGCATTTTCCGAGTATCTGAAAAACAGCTGATAATCCTCAGCTGATTCTGAGGAGTTCAGATTCCTAAAGTAAAGTAAAGTGAAGTCAATACATTTGAATTTATTGTGCGTTTTTATAAGCCAAACATCTACGTTAAACTAAAACCAAACAAGCTCCAATTATTGAAAGCATCGTGAAATGAAATGTTGCAAATCATATTTCACCACCTGAAAATACTCTTCAGATCTCTTCACCAACTTTTGGTTAAATGTTCAGGTCTAAGCCCTAAGGTCCTATCGAGACCGTTACGAAATAACTATTGCCACTTATTTCGATGCAGGCACAATCCTTTAAATCCCTCTATTCAACATTAAAGATTCGACCATTTCATCACATTGGGACATGATTCTAAATTTTTCGTACTAGCCTATCGCATGTTTGATCAATACAACGTACCCACTTGAACTTCAACGTACCCACAAGGTTTCCCAGAATTACCTATCTAATTCTAGTCATGTGACTCCTTCAGTTTTCCTGGTTTTTCTCGCCGGTTATTCTGCAGCTAGACTTTATGGTAATAATCAACCTAATTTTGTTCACGACTTTTCTCAGAAATGCCAACCACATTCTCCTCTTGATTCGCCGGACTTCATAGAAACCTGCCGGTCACTACTTGGAATATTCATAATATCCACGTACTTCCCTAGAAAATAAAGTAATACTAATAAAAGTGGTGCCGGGATGCCTTCTTTGAGCATGCACTGATTAGACATTCTTTGGCATTCTCACAGAGTGATAACATTGGTCGCTATCACGAAGGATGACAGGTTTTTTGTCGCGACAATGAAAGATTATTTCTTTTTTATCATTTTAATAACATCACCTTTCTACAGGATCCTAGAGGACATTGCATGTATTTCATCCCATCATTTTACGACAGTCCTGGAGACTTTATCCATATAATCAATACGTATAACTGGTATAATAACTTGAAGTTCCTTGAAAAAACCTTGTCTTGATTCCAGAATTTTTTATTTACATGGATTATATGCCTGTCGTGCGCTTCCTTGCGGAATGTGGATTTTATCTTTTGGCCGTACTCCCAGCCTAATTCAATTCCAACATAATTAGATAATCAGTCAATGATGACGACACCAAGATAAAACACCGTAGTTCATATCTTCATGCTCCAACATATCACACTTTCTGACGGCACCAGAGTTGAACTAAACCGTTTTTCAGGTCCCCGGGTACGATGGTGAGGGTCCCCTGACTCGTCGCAAGAAACGTTCCAGGTCTGCCAGACACATAAAAAAGAACAAGATTCACACCAGACAGCCCTCTGAAGACATGACCTTCTACTACGGGTACGTGACACCCAGCGGTGTGACCGCATCCACCGGAACCCCGGAAAACTACTACAACCGGGTGGAGAGAACAGAGATCCTCTACCGGGTAACCAAGGGTCTCAAGGAAATGAGTATCTGTGAGCTGGAGACGTACTACGTGAGGAGGTACAACAAGTTTCCCTTCTTCGTGAAGAGTGTGACCTGTCAGAAGAACAGGGCCCTGAAAGGGGACATTATTTGTAACAGCCGGTATGAAAAGGGCCACATACTCCGGCTGGTGAAGGCAGAGTGTATGCCTGAAGGAGAGGGAGGTAAGTGGGAGCACGACTGGGAGACAAGGGTGGTAGGATGTGATGCTGTGTTACCAGTTAGCAGGATTGTCTCATAACAGATAGTTTATATTCCCTCTACATGGGATTGAGAACTGTAAAACCTTGAATAAATAACAGTATGAACGCCTTGAGGCTAATGAACGCCTAAAATGGTCTAAGACTGCAACTTGATCTACTGTGTGAGACTGATGGCCGTTTGATACAAATTGCTCATGATACAGATATTTTAAACTTATGTTCACAATTTTATAGGGTACAATTTTGCTTTCATAAATAATAATCAATTTCCTCCTTGAGCTTCATTCAATGCGAATTAGTCGACTTTAGACTAAATTTGATATGTATAACTTCAGATCTAGATAAAACTAAACACGATTTATAAGAATTTAAAAAATAAAGATACCCAAGTATTTAAATTTGTATCATACGGCCATACAGCTCATAAATTTGCATTAAGGCAGAACGTTTGAGAAAACCTTATATTTGCTAACTTACTCATTTCAAATGCTTTATAAGTTCATACTGAGAAGTTCAGACGTATTTTAACCCGATATGGACGCATGTATCGAATACTCATGATATTGATAAGACGCTTGTGACCCTCAGGAATTCAATCGTATTTTAGTTTTAAAAAGGAGATTTATTTAAATATCGCAGTTTGAAAATAAATGGCTGAAAATATTATTCATATAACATGGTAGTTGAAAGCAATTCATGCATCGATTTGATCCGACGGTTGGAATTTTTCAGCTCGAAGTAAAAATATTATTTTTTATTTTATCTAAGATAGTATTTTATCGTGCTAACATGGATTTTCTGAGGTTATTTTGTCATTTAGTTTATCAGCTATAATGCGGCCCTGTGACTTAGTGATTATGATAGTATGATGACTTGAAGTTTTATGTAGCTTTTTGATATGGAGTGGATAACGGCTGAACTGTCTGATATTAATATGTCGCGTATGTATATTATTCCTCTTGATTCTCGAGTCCTGATTCTTGAGTCCTGAATCAAGAGTCCTGATTCTTGAGTCCTGATTCTTGAGTCCTGATTTTTGAGTCCTGATTCTTGAGTCCTGAATCATGAGTCCTGATTCTTGAGTCCTGATCTTGAGTCCTGATTCATGAATTCTTTTGTTAAGCTAAAACTTCATACCCTGATACAATTTCCCTAGGGAAATAAACCATAACCAAGTCAATTTCTCATGTGGACAGTTCAGATTATCCAAAGAAGTAGAGAAAACCGTACCATTATTGCGACAAAACCTAAACTATTTGAGTGAAACAGATTTCACTCTCGTACTGATTTTCACTCTCGCCCGAAAGTGAGTTGGGCCTTTGCCAATAGTTGTCGAAGTAATGGTACGTAGTGTACGGTGAGCCGGGTACAGCCCCAAAGGGGTTTCTGGCAGGTTACATGTTCGGTTGGTCAACAACTTATGGAGCAAGATTTTTCCCTAGGGACCGTTCACATATTACGTCATCAGACCCCATCCCCAAGTAGCAAGTTTACACTTGAATATATAACAAATTTCGCATCAGCGACAATATTTTAGCCAATTTAAAACCCCCCCACCTCCCCCCTCCCCCTTGTGTACGGACGTAATACGTGAACGATTCTTATCGGAGTATATTACTGTGAGCTAAATTTTTCTAATCATTACGTTTAATTTGTCAGGAACGAATTTTAAAACTCACTATGATTTGTTCCGATAAGGTATTATGATTATATATGTGTTATCTATCGTTACTTTTGTTATATATTGAAGGCATTCGGAGAACTCTATCGTTACTTTAAGTTTATAACTAGTAAGTATCCTCTGGGAGGGCTGATTTAATAATATCTATATCCCTAAAGAGTTATTTACAATCTAAATCGTGAGGGAACATTTTACCTTTATTTTGTATACAATTTGTAGGCCCTAATTTTTCATTTAACGAGGAAATAGTTACGGTAAAAAAAGCTATGGCCTGTGTTTCCTTCCAAATTCTTAAGGCCCTAATACTTGGATTAGCCTAAAATAACGGTTACTACTAAAATCAATGTCATCAATCATCATATTGCGAAGATGTTGAATGTTTTTTACAGATTAGTCGAAAGCGCAAATGACAAGGTCCGCTAAAATCAACAGCCTGAAATTTTTAAGAAGGTGGCTGAAAATGTAAGCTAGAGATCACGTTTTTTAGATTTAAACGGGGCATTCGATTAGGATACTTCAGGGTTTTTATATTTGCAACCAAACGCGACCTGAAAATTGAAATCGCATTTCCGTCTAGTCATGGGTTTTTGCTTTTCCTAGAAAACGGGCCCAAATGAAATCTCCAAATTTGTCAAGGAGGCTCATTTGCTTCACCATAATATCACAACATGCATATTTCGCTGCCCCCGGACCGACTAATGAAATTTAGATAAGAAACTTCGTCTTGCTTCATCATGACTTATATCAGGCTTCGTGCTAGCTTTTGTATGGAAAGGACCAACTAAGTTCTGTGTTTGGCACGGTATTGATGATGTCAAATGAGTTAAGGAATTTTGGATATGCTAGAGAAAATCGTACTTGACACATACGTAAAAATTACTGGACAAATTTGATTTCAATTTATACCTTAAATTTGCTTCACAACATACTGAATAACCATTGGTTATTTCACATAACCAATGGTTAAATCCAGGATAACGCTTAAGCGGCGACCGTTATATAAATCTATGGACATCAATCTTAGTAGTGACTAGTGATCGATATATTTTATGGGTGCGTGGTCGATGATCTGCTCATTAGTCAAACCTTTTAAAGGATAATATATTACCACATAAAATACCGGATGATATTTCGTTATTTTGGAAACATTGGGAAAAATAGCTAATGACGCGTCGGATAGATCCATGAAAATATACAGATACGTTAACAAAAAGGGAGCGACAATATCCCGTAAATAAGGTACTAATTCAACCTAAACATTTAAAAAGTGTTTTTAATGGCACCAAACATTGTAACATCATACTAAAAGTTAGCAGTGAAGAACAATCTTAGCATTTTTACGTTGAAATTTCTATATGATTTATTTCTCTCTGTTTATTTGTTATTTATGCCGTAATTATATCTGTTTCACTTGTTTACTAGCCGGAGAACCGAACATTTTCATGACTGGAAATCAAAATTTTCTTATGCATTAGACAACATATCCTCTCCTAAATACTTAAATAAGACTGAAGACTTGTTAACTTTTCAGCTACACTTATCCTATTTACAACCTAAGTACAAAAGAAAGTAGAGTTATGATTGTATCATATTCATGAACGCAAATGTCATTAAGTTTGAAAATCTTTGCGAGTAAATTTGATGAATTTTGTTTGGTTCGGGATCCTCCTAATCAGAATAGCGCTGTACCGAAATGGTACCTGCAAAAAGTGAGATATGACATTAATGTGTGAAGGTATGGTAGAAGACCGACTTTAATTTATTTCGGAGTTTAAGCGCTTCTACATGTTGGCACCTTGCAGAGTAGGTCACAATTTTCAGTCTGCAAGTCTTGTCAATCTTTCTCACCTAAAGTTTGATTACCTACGTTTATTATTCATTGTTTCTCAGCAGTATATAGGCTGAATTTGTACCCTATCTTATTTGTGCAGTGGTCTTTAATTTCGTCTGACGTCAGAGGGGTCAACATTAGAAGTAGAATTGTCAGGCTGGGGTGAACTCTAGTAAGTTGACCGGGTATCTGCCGGCGTGATACTGTTAAAGATAATCACAGGATTTCTAAATAAACTAATTGGTGGACTTTTGCCAAATGTCCCTTTTAGTCTTACTCTTAAGGGGGGTTCACCCTGATTTTTTTGTGAAACTTGGTTTCGAGATAGCAGTTGACAAACAAACTAGGACCGGTGACCGAACTTTTGAGGGGGTCCCGGACCCCAACAGCCAAACGGTGCCCGCGGGGCAGCCACGCCCATATTTGGTCCAAATTAGGCCCAATTTAGCCAAATACCCTGAACATGCCCAAAACCATGCTTTGGGATGCTCTACTTGTAGCTACTAGTCTCTTGAACACACATATTAAGTTTTATCAAAATTGGATAAAAATTGGCCAGGCCAAGTTATGGGATAAAAACCATATGCCCATATTTGGGCATACGCACCAAATTTGATCGATTCTGGTCCATAAATTGGTCAAATATCAATATTTTTGAATAAAACCAACTTTATATGGAAGGTAAGCCTATATGTAGGTAATACTACACATTCTCTATGATTATCAGCTCAATATCTACCTAACTATGGATTCTGTGTTCAAATAATCGCAAAAAATGAACAAAATCGCCCATATCTCAGTTCGCAATATTTGCAAAACTGACTTCGCTCAAAACATAGACGACCTTCCAATAGGGCTTTAACAACTGTCCGAAAAATTTTGTGGATAACATAGTTGATTTAGTGATCAAAATGGGGCAAAATACGCTGCTTTTAGCTGTAACATAATGTCTGATGGTTGAATATGCTTTAAATTTTTCGGACACTTTCCTTGTAAGTCTATGAGTAAGCTTACCAATTTTTGTTGCAATCGGAGGTCGGGAAGGATACTCAATATCTATTTATTTGAAGAAAATTGTGCTGGCCGAAATTAGCGCTAAAAAACCATCCTACAGTCGGCACGCGCGGCTCACTGTCGATGCGATGGCGCACTACCTACATCGACTAGACAGTGAGCCGTGCATACTGATTGTAAAATGGTTTTTATGATCGCTAATTTTGGCCAGTTGAAAATTATTTAAATTTAAAAAGTAAATATAATCACATATTTGGTAAACTTTATTTATATTTAATCCAATTAAATTCTAACAAAAATTGGTGAGTTTACTTTAGCCTCAGGTTGTAATCGAAATATTTTTAGTTTCTCGAATTTATATTAAATTTTTGGTATCATGGTATATAATAGTTCTAGCCATGCTGATCTCAGATCGAACACACTGCCATAGGCATAATTCTGCGAAAACTTTCACTATATTATTATTGGGATATCGTGTTTTAAAAACCGCCTTGAAATAAAATAATTGTTTTAAAAAAACGGCGTTATTTTGCTAAAATTTTGCTCAGCGTCGAACGTTTTCAAAAGCTCGTGATAGATTGTATTCAGTATTGAAATGATGCAACCCTGGAAAATTCTGGACATGGAATCCTCAATCCATGTACAAATAACTTTTCCAAACGATAGCATAAAATATAGATTGTTTACATGTTACAAATATCCGTGTATTTGATAAATTAACGCAATAATATAGGACAAGTCAGAAACACGTCTAGTCGCACACATTTTGAAATATAACTCGAGCTACAAATTTCGCAACACATATCATGACAGTGATGCATCATTGATCATGGTTTAAAATATACACATTTTGGACACATTTTTTACGATAAAACATACTTTACAGTTGAATTTCAAAATTCAACTTTAAATTTAACTTTAAATTTAACTTTAAATTTAACTTTAAATTTAACTTAAATTTAACTTTAAATTTATCTTTAAATTTACGCTTAAAATTGCTGGTAGGTCCTTCCGAGATCTATTTGATGAGTCCTATACATCTATACTAGGGTCAAAAGTAAAAGCTCTACGCAGAGCTACATTAAATTTACGCTAACTCGGGGAACTAAACATCTCACCAAATTTAACAAAATTATTGAATTTCGCGTTTCGTCAAATTTTTGTGCACGATAAAATTGAACTTGCTTGGACATTGGATTTTTTGTCTGATGTATTTTTTTTTGAGAATGTGATATTTTTAACAATACCAAATTTGTTATACTTTTTTGGAATGATTATTGAGTTTCATCTTATAATGCCATCTTACGGTATATATGGATGTGTTTATCCGTACCATTTTACTGACACCACGGCATCAACTTTAACGCGACTTTCCGCAAAAACCGTAAAAGATATACAATTGAAACTTTTTTGACTGGGTCAAATGCTTTAATGGCCTCCAAATCAGCATGAAAATATAAAAAATTGGCCAAGGAATAGGAGTTTTAGAGCCCAAAATTTGACCCCCAAGCTAAGCATGGTGTCAAAAACGCGAATTAAATAGGTAATAATTATTTTAGTCTCTTGAGTCTAAGAGTCTTGACACCATTTTAGGGTTATACGGGTTCCTGCTAGTATTTATAAATGATGTGTGTTATTTTGTAATTTGAGTTGTAACATAATGTCTGATGATTGGATAAGTTCAAACTTTTCTCAAAGGATTAAATTGAGCTTGAGGGAAGTTAACCAAATATTTTATTCTATTCACTTTTTTACTTATGCCGAAATTAGTGCTAAAAACCATTTTACAGTCAGTATGCGTGGCTCATTGTTGATGGCGCACGCCTAAGTTAAACTTAAAGTTAAACTTAATTTATAACGCAACATCGAACGCGCAGCTGATTATTTAAAATTAAATATTGATAACAGAAGGAAATACAAAATGTTTTAATACACCCTTTAGCCTTAATTTTCTTAACGTTAATTTTTTCATACCATTTGTAAATCAATTAGCGCTTGTATGTTATACCGTTTGTTATGTATAAATAATAATATAAAATAGTACAAAATAGTATAACAAAAGATCACAAAACGTTTTACACTTTTTATAAGTAGAACAGTGCACACTATAACATAACAATACGTTCGTGACTATTTCCTTTTATTTTCCTTAACCAACGCATTGTAAGTTTGACGGATGATACGGATTTAACTTCGAACTTTAAGTTTAATCGAAATATCATGACCCCTGGAAAAGCTCTACAAAGATTATTATTATGTAGCGCGCCGTGTCAGTCAATTAACGATGGAAAAATAAAATTACAATGTAACTTTGAATTCCGCACGAAACTGATCCCATCAAATATTATTCAACCATACCATCAAGTCTGCAATCTAGATCAGTTGTCCCATTTCACATTTGCAGTTGCACTATCAGTATTGAGTAATGAGTATCAATTATGCAAAACTTATTTCTTCATAAAATTACATTTTGGGTTTGGTGTGCAATCTTAAAGTTAATCAAACGAAGTCCAAGAAAATTGAATCACCAATAATATTATTACCGGCCTAACTTAGTTTTCACATTTCATTAACCTAATTTTCGATATATTTTGATATTGTTAGTATGCTCTTTTTGACAATTTCTTGATCACTATAATATAAGTGCACAGTTAAACTTAATAATTCAGTGAGTCATGTTTCGCTTTTGTAAACCGATATTTTTGATGACTAGTAATAGTATTTAACTTCATACCAATACTATTTGTTACAGCTTTTGAGCTCGCGTGCCACGCCAGTGTGTAGTGGCGTTAGCCTTATAGCCATAGCTAGGCATAACGTTGCCCGTTGGCGAATGGCGCCCCCTCCCCCACCCCCAAAAATGCTTCCCTGGAAAGTTATGGGCAAAATACTGTTTTGGTCACGTGACACGCTAGTAAAACACGAATTTGATTGTTTAGGGCTCGAATTTGATTGTTTAGGGTTGGGGTTAGGATTATGGATAGCTTTGGGTTTATGATTAGTAGACAATAAGACGCGCGCACTGACCATTGAATGGTTTTTTAGCTCTTATTTCGGCCAGCACATTATTTTGGAAACAATTGAAAAGTTATAATACTTCCCATATAACAATTTTGTTGGAATTTGGTCAGCTTACGTAAACACTTATGTTCTACTGAACCTAATTTAGTTTGAGCAATTTCAATGGTCAGAATTTGAGTTATCAACGAATTTATACCTATTTTGTCATTTTTAGACCTCTTAATCAAGGCCAATCTCTCCCAACTAAATTAGGTTCGGTAGTTAAGTATGATTGGAAGGTTCTGACAAATTTTCACCATGATTCATGTTCAGGAACCGAATATATGACAGAATAATACGACAAAAATCAACGAATTTCGTCAAATTACGCGACTTTTACACCAAATTTTGATCCAAAAGCCGCGCACCATCAAATATGGCACTTATGAGAAAATCACTGATCATTCCAAAAAGGTATAATAAATTTGGTACTGTGAAAATTCTCACAGTCTCTAGAAAACGATGGTACAAAAATTTTGAAAATCCAAGCA